TACCCCCCTTAACTGACGGGATGGTTTGCCACTGGCATGAGAGTTATGTGGCTTCTCTACGGTAGACGCAGCTAGCCTGAGATCAGTGAAGCATGACGGCAGCTACTGCTAGCTTCACTCATGAACACACGGGCCCGGCATGTCGAAAATAAGTTGTGTTTTTTTGTTTGGGTGAGGGTTCCATTTTTCCTGAGCCCAGCTCAGGGCAATTCCATGAAACAGCTCCAGAAACACACGTTCAACCTTCAGCTTAACAATATTCAGAGCGTCAACAGGGCATGAATGCACAAGCATGTCAGAGTCCTGTGTCTGGCGTGCCTGGAGGAGAATCGGGCTGATCTCTTTGCTCAATTCCCGGAAGACACCGCGAATGCTATTGACTGCGCTCTCACGCAGCATACGGTTGCACACTTGCTCCTTGCCGTGCACCTGGAATCTTTGTTGAGCTTGCAATTGTCGTTGTTTGTGAGCAAGCCCCAGGTACGATTGGCAAACAAAGATGGCGAACGAAGCTTTCAATGCCTGTAGCAAAAGGCTGCCTGGCTTGACCATGGCTGTGATTGCGCATCGTGTCTCCTGACATCTGCGAGGCAGCGGAATAAGAATTACATGCTTCCCCACCTCCAGTTATGCACGCATGCTCTGATATCTTGGAGGGGCTGTGAATACACTGGCTCCCTGCCGCCCAGTCATACATGCTTCAGTGAAAGTGTGCCTCCCCATTTCCGGTTCTCCAAAACTGCTTTGGTTCTCAGCCAGCAAAGATGCTACGCCAATTCTACGTTTCTGCGGCTTCAAGAAGCTGTTGTCCTACTGGTTTGGAGCATTGGCCCGAGACTGAACATTGGTTAGGTTACGAAACCATACATCATGATATTTTGGAGGGAAACTGGTGGAGGCGGAGGTACAATGATTTGGGGCTGGCAGCTTGCTGGGGCGCTGCGCTCTCAAAGGCAGAGCTCTAGCTGGTGCGTCCACGACAGACCATGGTGGCAGGGTGGGAGGCCACTGCATCAACCCCACAACAACAAGCCCATGTCATAGACACCTATTCCCTTGCATATAGGCTAAAAGCTCCAGATATCTTTGACATATTTGGATACCCAAATATAAATACATATATAGGGGCTTTACAGGGATGACATAGGGTTCTATCGGGATATATGGAGATTGCCCAAACATGGAGAAGCATATTATGGAAAAGAGCATGGGAAAGAACATCAAACATAATATGGGAGCTGGGGCTGAGCATCTTCCATTTCGGCCTCGCGGCGGTGGCAAGAAAGATGCCATGAGCATCAAGGCGGGCCTTGTGACTCTTGTGCTTTCTTTGCCCGTTGTAGAATCAAAATTGCATGTAAGGGCCGCAGGCAAACACCCTGGAAGGTGAGCAGTATGCTCAGTTTGAAATACTTAGCCCAACAAAGCACCAAAACTGCTAAACCCCGCAAATTGGAATTTATAAGCTGCTACGGAAGGAAACCAGAAGCCTAGGTCCTTTTATACTTGTGAAGCAACCTCTGCCGGGAAGAGCTTGATCTGCGAGAGGGGCGCGCGCCTGACCCTGGGTGACTGGCTTGAGTTTTGAGGTTTGAGGGGATGAAAAGGAAGTATATGGGATTCTTCAGGATTATACCGGATTATAGCAGTGATGATATATATATATATATGTACATATAGATTGGTATTTCTGAAGGTGGTACATGCGATCATTGGGTTCAGGATGATGAGTAGAGGCACAGTTCTCATGGTTGAAGTGGTTGTTATGGTTCAAGATCTGTCTAGCGCTGCCCGTTGGGGTTAGGCGAATATCTAGGGAGCCTCAAAAAAGATTCCATATGAAGAATGTCCAAATCCAACTGCCGACCCGCCAAAGTACCACAGCATGCTTCCCACGCCATCTCGATACCAAGATCCGGCGACCCTGGACGAGCCCTATGCGGCTGCTCGGGCATCTTTGGAAATCGTGTTTCTCCATCATGTGAGCTATAGTCTAAACTCCGTAAGAAGGGTGATATAGGGAATTATATTACAGGGCATTAATGGAGTTTAGACTATAGCTCATGTGCCGAACAATTGAAATCTGTGCTGCACATGCCTCGGGTATAGCAGCTATACAAAGCTCTCGCATATGCTCCCTTCACAGAACGACAAAGTTTGGGAGGTATAAACGGGAGCCTTGAACATCGACACAACTTTTTTCATGGAGTCTGCAGGCTAGCACTTGCACGGAAGAGCAGATGACAGATGCCGCAACACGTTTGCAAATGGCTTCAGGGCTAGCTTCAATCGGCCATCCAGGGTCAGCAGCACAGTGGAATTCGTCGTCGCTATGCTTTCATAGTATGAGCTGCCAAGAAGCTGGTGTGCCACTGAACGTAAACATGACCCTCGCAGAAGCCTACTTTGTTCTCTTTTGCTAAAAAAGCAGGCATCGTCCGGAAAGGACTTTGAGACCGTAGGTCGAGGTGTTGGCACTTCAGGCATCTTAATGGCCATTTCTGTTTCTTATTCTCCCGTAACTCATTACGAGCTAGCCCCACCCCACCCCGCGTAGGATTTGGAACGCTGGTCCCAACAGCAGGTCAAGCTCGCTTTGCAGGAGTACCAGGCTTCTACTGCTGCAGGAAAGGTTTTTGTCCTGGCAGCTGCTTGGCAGGAAAGAAATGGGATTTTTGGCTCTTTTCGTTTTTTTTGCGTACTCTGCAACAGAATTTCTCAAGTTGCGCCCTCCTCAAGGCTCAGCCTCAGGGTCTCTGAAGTCCCCCTGTTTTGACAGACTCCCCAAGTATTAAAATGAACCAACTTAGAGGATGGGATGCTAAATGCCAACCAGGATGGAGGTTGGGGGCGTTTAGGGTTTAGGGTTAAATGCCAACCAGGATGGATGTTGGGGCCGCCTCTTCACCGCCTGGCCAGATTACTGCCAATCCTTGCTGGAAGCCTACAAGCTCTGCGCAGAGTGGGAATGGACTTGCAGCGTCTACATGCAACTTGAATGCAGAAACTGCTGTAATAGTAATAACAATAATAGTAATAGTAATAGTAATAGAAACAAAAAAAACAATAATAGTAATAGTAATGGTAATAGTAATAGTAATAATAATCACAGTAATAGTAATAGTAATGGTAATAGTAATCGTAAGAATAACAATAATAATAATAACTACAATGCGTGCTGCGGATCCTACTGTATACAGTAAGCAGCGAGGGCAACACATGTCCCTGTGCCGGGTGCACGAATGTCTGACAGCTTGGGTTCAGCGGAGATGCTAAATGCAAATACCAGACAAATATCTAAGCTCAACAAGGCACTGCCTGCCACAAGTGTGGCGAGCTGGAAGCACGCGCCGTCTTGCATATGTACAACATCAGCCCCTCAACAGTACTTTCCCAAGCCGATCTCGTTTGCATCTACTAACCTGTCAAACATGTGTATTTTTTTGGAATCCTGGGCAAGAAGGATTGGCAGCCAGCGCTACGCAGCTGATGACTTTCCCTGCCGCTGCGGCAGATCTGTGCCACTGGCCACCTGCAGCCTGCAGGGAGAGCTTTCATGTGTCTCAGCACAATGTTCCACTCTAGCAACTGCTCCACTGAAGCAAAGGGAGTCAAAATGCTCAGTCAAGGGTATGTGGTCAGAAAACTGTCCCCATATTAGGATGCTTTCAGCCGTGATGTGCATGTGTGAGGAGCTGGAGATCTTGCACCACACAAAATGACGCAAATAAGACAGGTGCGTTGCTCAAAATTATGAACCCGCGACATCGGTTTCCAAGCGCTGAGCAGGGAGATCTCAGCTTCAGCTGCAGCCCAAACAGCACGTCATGAAAGGTCGCGCAGAGACACGGAAAGTCGGCCTAGCATACAGATGGTAGCAGGTAGCATTTGCGAAGCAGATTTATACAGGATGTACTGCAGGAGTTTCCCCCAGATACTCTACAAGAAGCTTCAGAGAGACTCCTTCATGCCTGAGATATATCTGAGGGGACCCCAACTCTGAGAAGCCGCCAAAATATGGAAGACAATACAAGTGGTGTGGAGCAGAGTTATCATACATCTTTGCGGGTTCAGCATGTCGGGTCCAGGGCAATGAGGTTGTGATCCAAGAGCCCCGATTGGCCAGCATCATGGAAGTTCGCAGAAGGGGGCAAGCTTTTTGCCAGTCCTTCAAAAACGGATCTACCATGCTCCGGACATGTCCCTTGACTCCTTGACTTCTGAACGCTGCCGAAATCAGAAGACTCTAGGCGGCTACAACGTCACGGCGCCTGATGTGAATACCAGCTGCCTGATCACTTCGGCATCTGGATCCTTGGCTCAAAATGCCCACTGGTATTGTTACTATATGGTAATTACTCTTAAAAAGTAGTACTATACCATTGTTATTACAATTAATACTGTCAGTATTCTATCCTTCCCCACCAGGCTAGCGCGGAAAGCCATCTAGCCCCCTTTGAAAGGCACCCGGCCCCGTTTTAGCTTGACGGAGTCAATACGGAGATAGCGATGGTAATAATAGCAATATACTAGTAATACCAGTAATACGTAATAACAATAATGCATGCACCAAAAGTAATACTAGTGTACTGACCCTTCCTTGTTGCTAAAGCATTCCGTGCAAAGTCCCGACACAGAACCTTTATGGTTACTGTTGGTACTTCGTCACACAGAGAGTCCGCACGCAACTGGTTTCGTGTGCCAGGGACGAGAGAAGATCCGCATTTTGCTATGGGCACAGCACGCAAGATGTTCAGAGTTTCTGATTTATGGAGAAGGCTTGGGGGGTTGAAGTGTAGTGTTGACGTAGGGTTGTTTCGCACAATGTGTACACCTCCATCCTACGAAAACTTAATACTGATCCATCATGCATTTTTTTTACATGGGCTGCCTTGACGCGAGACTTGCAACAGCAGGTGGATGGCTCAGAATCCTTGCAAACGAATCCTACCTCATACATTACAAGGTTAATTGATGGCTTATACGTCCATGTAAGTAAGCTCGAAAGTCGACAGTAGCCGGGAGAGGCTGGATACAGAGCCGTCAGGCGCCTTGAAGTTTTCTTGTGGGTGAGATCTAATTCAAGGTGTGTTGGCTCATCGTGACCCAGCATGTGACATTTTGATGCTTGGCAAGCTTAGGCCCTTCCACAACGGAGGCTTCGTCTGGGTCTTCTACAACGGAGGTTTCGTCTGGGTCTTCTACAACGGAGCCGTCTTTATCTAACACCCTTCCTGGCGTTGCGCCGGGCCCATCCTCCTCAGCAAGAAGCTTGAAGCTCTTGTGGTGTGTTTTAATAGTATACTTGCAAATGCTCTGCTGCTCTTGCCTTCCGTGAGGAAGTGAGGAAGTGTCCGAAGGTTCTGCAAAGCAAGAATACCTTCCTTGGCAGCATGTGCAGGTGTTGCATGGGCATTTTCTGCGCAAATCTTGCGTGGGGACGCAAAAGCGCCAGCTCAGGATAGGACTTCTCATGCACCCAAGACTTGGTAACCCTACTTCCTCCTATCCGTTCTGCACCTTTCGCCCACATACTGGCACCTTTCATGAGTGCAATGGAGGGACTTCAAATACTGCTGACTACCCCAGGGTTTGGAGGTAGGGCCCATGTGCTTGACGATTGCTACGGGGTCTGTGATTTCCACGAAAATATGTTTAGCATGTCTCAACTGATTTGTATGGATCACAGTGGAAGACCGTTTACTGTGTACTCACAGTTCTGCACTCTTACAATGTTCCCAGCCACCTTAGATACCTCCGCTGCATGACGATCCATCCGACATCCTGCAGCCTGAAGCATTTCGGCTCTGGTTCCTCGACCATGGCGCGTGCGGAAGAGGGACGCCTCTTGCACCCCGGCATCATATCATAATATTGGTCTCAGAGTGGTCTCAGGGCGTGGACTTTCGGGTTTCGGGCAAATCTTGCGGAGCAGGATTCTTTCTTTGACAGCTCGTCGTTGCTGCCTCTTTTCCAATCAGATGTGTCAGAATTCGCAGCCAAGATTTGTTTTTCGAAACTACAGTACATGATACGGTTGTGAGCGCAGCTAGCGCTTCCAGCTCCAAGTTCAGCTTTTTGCGGTTCCAATCGCAATTGTGTTGCTGCATCGAAAGCCTTGCTCGCATCGCCCCAATTTCGGTTTATGTACCTTTTGAACCAAAACCAATTTTTTATAAGAAAAAAAGTCGTTGGACAAACGCTGGCTTGAAACACGCGACCGTAAAATGCACGTTGGTTCATCAAACGCCCGCAATCTCATGCAATCTCAACGGGCAACCGCAATTGCTCAAATGCCCGTAATTTCTCTGGATCCTGCGACATTGAAACGTCCATAATTCTTATTGGCCTATGCTAGGTTTTAGCAGCCAACAGAAACGAGCCAAATGGCAATAGATCCGAAAAACCGCACCTGAAAGAAAAATAACCACGTCGCGAAACAGTTATAAAATCATGTGTCGAGGTTTGAAATTACGCAGCTTGCCCTTCAGGCTTCGAAAAGGGTTCATGAGAAGCCAAAACAACGGTAAATCTGCGACAGCGGTTTGACAATGATTTTTTGAAGGCATGTTTGGAAGCCAAACGCCCATAAAACTACGCTGGTGGTTTTTTAAACCAAGGTTTCGAGGCCTCCGTGGATTGCAAGAAGACGACGTAGAGCCCCAAGAGAGTTCGAAAGCCAGGGGTTCGAAACCAAACCCCATATTTGAAAAAGTAACAACCTTTAACAGAACCCGTCAAACCCGCAATGCATTCGCATCCCCAGGGCTCAAACCCTCGCTTCACAGCACAAGCCACGAAACGACCGTAATTTGGAGGGTCAATATGACAGCATAGGCTGAAACCTCGCCCGTAAAGCAAACAAACGCCCGTAAATTCAAGCCAAATTTTACATCTCCAGGTAGAGCTCAACACAGTAATTCTTCAGAGGAGGGGTCCGCGTTTAATGCACCTACGCACAACCCAAAGGGTCCGCTTGATTACTTTAATACTGAATGTGAGTGTAAGCAAGTCCTGCAACATCATTGTCCCGTTCCTTGCCCCCACACTGCAAATGTGCAGCACACATAGCTACCGAGATGGTGCGAAGAGACGGCTGCCTTGCCGGCTTTCTATCCTCACATCTTGGGCATCGGGTTTGATGTGCCTAGAGGGCCTACGCCACGTCCCCCTGGCACCGGGCCAGGTTAGAGTTGGAGAATCTTGTTCTTACCTTGCATATTCCTGGCATGTGAAACGAACACGACACATCAACTGTCCAATAGCACAGAAACTTGTATATGGCCCTTTGCCATGGAATCGCCTATGCATCTCTACCGCATATGCAGCCCTTCTTTAATTTGTGTATTAAACCAAGGGTGCCAGGCAAGATAAGCTTCCCGCTCGGGTTTGACTCTCATGTCTTTTACTCCATGTGGCGCGGCGGCCCTTAGCTTAGTCTTCAATCGCAAAATCGGTCATTTGCTGAAGCAAAACGAGCTTACCTCTGTGGTTTCTTGCGGTCATTGAGTGATGTATGGACTTGAAGAGCCTTCGTTTAAAGAGCTGTACATAAAAGAAGCAAAGCATCAGAATCAGCTCCTGGACCACTTGGCGTATCATAAACGGTCAGTGATTAGATTGGGTTCTGGGGGTACTTTGCTATCATAAGCAACCAGAATCAAGAGCATGGAGTTTGGAGGTACTTGCTAGTATGCTGAGAGGCGCCTACGTAAGGGACAAAAGAAGAATTTCCACTTAGTATCCAAGTCATGCGCATTGTAAGAAACACCTGAATCACAAGAAGCACAGAATGGATGGGTTCTGGAGGAAGTTTTTGTCATCACGAGGGCCTCATCACAGGATAGCAGTTGTGGTGAGCTGCTACCTATCATCAGGGTTCCATCTCAGACAATTCAGGTTTAAGGTCACCACTGGCCCTCAGACAGTCTTACCAAAGTTATCTTGCCCACCAAACCCAAACTCATCCCAAATCATCAACCTGAAACTTCAAACGAGCGCTATCATGTCCTCAACCCCCCCACACATGCAACAGTGAACACGGAACAGCAAAACCCGCGGCTCACTATTGAGCGCGTGAGCAATTTAATAAGTAGCCATGGTAATCACATGGGAGGTGCAATTGCCGCCCAGGTGCCCTCGTGGGACGAAATCTTCCGCGATCTGAAGGCGCCGCACTGGCTGGAGCTCTGTCCTTGATACACTCGGCATGGATTGGATGCGCGCTGGTAATTCTTCTAGCCTCTCACAGCATTCCAATCGGTTGACTCAGAGGGTCCAGGTATGCTACAAAGGGGTGCTGGGGTTGTTTTGGGCGCAACATTCTCATACAGGTTGCAGGGAGTATGTGATTACAGTAGATAAGAAATCAGATTTCTTGAGATGTGGGTCAGGTAGATGCCCACAGACCCTCTAAGGACTCCTGGTTCACTTATGCTCGCCTTGAAGGAGTCGGAATGAGTCCTAGCTAGTCTCGCCTCATTCCTTCTGTAGGAAATCTCTGAACCCTCAACCCTAAAAGGCCCTAAAACCCTAAATCATCAACCGCTACCCTCAACCTTCACCTTCAATCCTAGAACTCTGCAGCATGTAGAGCTATAGGGTTTAGGGCTCCATGCCTACCATTGAAACGCAAAACTGACACTGCGCAAGCCTAAGCCCTATAGCCTGAACTCCTAAACCAAACAACTGTGTAAACCCCAAACTCCGAAATCCCTAAACCCATAACCCAGAAACCTTTTCAACGCAAAATCCTCAAATCCCTGTTCCACAGGACAGCATCCTATGCTCGCAGGCCTGGGCACAAAACACGTGTTTATGGTTTAGGGTCTGGCGCTTTGAACTTAGGTTCTGGGTTTAGGTACATGCTTGGAAAAGGCCAGTGGGCACCCCGCCACCCCTGTTATAGAATATGTCCTCCCATTTAGAAGGGTTCTTGCGGGGCAATAAGTAGTATGTGAGGTCATCATGGTCCTCACAGTCTCGCAAGAACAGCAGCGACCCCGTCAAGCCCCTTAAACATGCAACCATGCTTGCCACAGGTTAACAGTGATGGCCTTCCTGCGCGACGCAGGGAGCTGAGACACTGCAGTGCTGGGCTTGCCGTGCGCCGTGCGGGGCATCATGATCCGCGCAAACCTCCAGAGGATCCCAGCCACCCGCCCCTGTAACGGCTTAAATGCGAGAATACTTGCCATGGATTCGGGACAGTGGATCAGCTGCAAAACTGCAGCAACAGCTCCTGAGCACCCTCCCATTCTCCCATCATTCCCTGCACTGTCTTGCAGATGCTGGCCTACTGCATGAAGCCCTTTCTGAAAGCTGCATCGGAATTTCACCGTAGAATCTGGCAAACAAGGCAGTGTTCGAAGGGGTGCATACACTTGGCTCTGAAGCTGGATATTTACAAGCAGATGATGGTACGGGCTTTGCTTGATCAGCCATGATCAGCACGCCTCGCCCATGATGGAGTAACTGCGGCATAGGGCGTGGGCTCCACGAGTTGACGTTTGTACCTGTTGAGATTTAGTATGTACCATCCCAAGAATTTTCCACTTGCTTTGGCAGGAAGACGTTTGAAAACCACAAGGGATCCTGATGCTGATAAATCTACTGCAGCATATCCTACGCCAAAACCCTATTTCGCTCACTTTGAAGGCCCCGCCAACTCTTCTTGCAGGGACACCCAGGAGGGCGCCGAATTAGTAACTTCAATGTAGGAGGACCCCTTGTAGGGGTCCATGTAACATAAAACCGAATCATTCAGCTGCCTACTATACAGGGGCCCTAAGTTTGAGGTACTTCCATTTCAGGCTACCGTGGGCACAATCACCACACCCTGAAGCTCACAAACCCAAGCCCATAAACCTAAGCCAAGCACCACGGACCATGACCTTTGGAACCCTCAGCCCTCAGGCCTAAACTCTTTGCCTCAGACCCCCTATCAAGGAACATAGTTCAAAACATAGAGAACTTGCTGAAGCGGCGCATGGGCTTCCAGGGTTGCTTCGCATATGGTCCAGACTTCGCCATCGGCAACGTGACAATAGAAGTCCGGGCCTGATGAACTCTGTGCAATGGCCTGATGTAGAAGGCAAGAGGACTGGTCACGGTACAGCGGAAGAGTTGCAGGGCCCAAGCCCCCGACATGTACATCTGGGCTTCAGAATCAAACTTCTCGTCGTCTGTTGCAAGCTATTTTGAACAAGTTTGTGAAGCAGTGGCCCTGCTCATAAACCCAAGAATTGTGCGCGTTGGGCAGCCTTGTTTTGGGTGTGGAGGGGTCTGCGGCTCAAATGGACAGCGCACGACTGTTTGGCAAAATCGAGTTTAGAAGGA